GAAAGAGTCGCGGCATTAGGAAGGTTGAGAACCACTGAAATAGAGTCATCTCTATTTTTAAAACAAAACGAAAAATAGCCTGTCTTTAGTATCATCGAGTACATAACTATGGTAATTTCACAGACACACACCTGTAAAAAAGTACTGGTGCCTGCCCCGTTGGGGTTAGCCCTGTTAAAAATCACAGCATCGTTGAGCAGATTAGACTGGAGGAGAATTGCAAAAGGGTTAGAAACTTAAGTCTCGAGGTCGAGTTTCCATGTCTTGATGAGGAGACGTGCAGTCCCTGTTTGCTGGGGGTGGGGTGGGAGTGTGTGTGCAGTACGCGAGCACAGAGAGACACCCCGCCCTCTGTCAGAGCACAGCCCTCTGTGCCTGCCTGGACTCCCTCAGGATCACGAGTGGGCTTGTGGAATTGAGAGTAGGGGCTCATTGGGGCCACAGGGTGGGTAACCGAGAGCAGCAAGAGATGTAAGATGAGACTTCTGCTTTGGGGGAGAGATTCTTCAGAATGATTGGAAATATTATTCGGGGGTGGAAATTAGAACTACAAATTTTTAAAACACTAAAGATCAAAGTCATAGTCACACTTCACTGTAGGCTTAAGCCTATATTTTAGGAGGAGACTCTTTGAAAGATCTAAAAGCAATCCCACACGGGCTACTGAGGAGGTTATAGAACACTGAACTTAACTGTCCAATATGTTTGCATTGCTTGTAGGTGCCGCTTATGCCCATGCAGAAGAGAGTATCAGGAAATTGGTGGAGCAGTGTAAATTGCCGTTTTTGCCCACCCCCATGGGAAAGGGTGTTGTCCCCGATAACCACCCGAACTGTGTCAGTGCAGCCAGATCCAGGTGCGTGGCATGCCTGATGTTCAGTACAACAGCTAATTTATGTTATGACCTACATGGATCAACGACAAAGAAGCCTGAAGGATCAGGAGACAAATTTGAGCGCACACATTCTTTTTAGACTTTTTAATACTTTAAAGATACAATTCCGCTACCTTCTGGCAGTCATGGTTTCAAAGGAGAACTCTGTCATTCAAATAATTATTCCTCTGCATACAACATGTCACTCTTTCCTGACGGCTTCATCTTTGATTTCCAGCAGGTTGAGCAAGAACTGTCTGGACATGATTTTCTTTGAATTTTTCTCTTATCTGGTGTTCTCAAATCTTCTAGAATCTGTTTGTTTTCGTTCTTCAGCAAATTTGGGAAGCGTTTTAATTTTTTTCCCTTCTACATCACTCTTTGGCTTCTCTTTCTAAGAATATCATGACACAAATCTTAGACCTTAAGATGCTATCCTGATGTTGGGTACTTGATTTTGATTCCAGTTAAACTTCAAAAGCCGTGTTCTGTACCTTAGAGAGTTATAATAGATACTTAAAGTCTCTGTTAACCAATTCTAACATCTGGAACATCTTTGGGTTGGCCTCAATCTTTTTTTTTTAAGAACTGGTCACTTTTTTCTGGTTTCAGATAGTTTAGATTTCATCCTGGATATTTTTAAATATTATGTTGTAAGATTTTAGATTATGCTAAAATAACCTATAAAATATATATATTCTTTTGTATTTCAGTGCATGTTTTTGGTGGGGAGAGGAGTGTTGTAGCCATCAGCCAAGCGCTCATCTAGAAAGAAGGCAAGATCTGCCTAACTGCCTTTGCTGCCCTGCGTGGGTTCTGTGCTACACATGCCCAGTGCAGGGGGAGCCCCAGCGTGCTGAATCATACCTAGAATTAGGGGTTCTTGTTCTCTTCTTTCCAGGATCCATGCCCACTCCCTGAGTCCTGGGAACCCCTTTTCCTGATCATCAAGTAAGAATGATGGGGCTTCTTTTGGAATCGGAGCTATTTGGAAGCCATTCGTGGAACTCTGTAAGATAGGGTGCCTCAGAACAGAGCTGAGAGGAAAAAACATTAAAGAAAATCAGAGTCACCCTGCTCCCCACCTTTTTGACTTGCAGAGGCCTCTTGTTTTCTAATCCCCTCTCAGAAAGACAGGGTTTCTCTTGAAGCTTTTGCTGCCCGAATTCTGTGATTAGGGCCTCCCTGAGTCACAGCCAGGAAGAAAGGGTGGGGGGAGAGCCCTGGAAACTCACTCCCTGCACGGCCAATTTTTCAAGCTTTAGGAGCCCCCGTGGCACTGCCAAGTGAGCGTTGGACTGGTAGCCACGAGGTCAGTGGTGGGTCCGACCGACCAGCTGCTCCTCAGGACACAGCTGAGGCTGTCTGCTGCAGGGTAGCTGTACAGCCTCGGTCGCTACGACTTGGAATAGACGAGATGGCAGTGGGTTTGGGGTTTGGGCGGGTCAGGTTTTGACACCACCCTCTGGCCTCCCGTCCGCCTGT